CAGCAGCAGCAGCCGCAACAGCAGCAACCTCACACGGCAGCAAACATGTGCCTGGAGGCATACCCGGAGGCTCCCGAAGGCCTTTAAGGTTAAACGAAAAGCGAAGGTCTGCTGCAGCGTTGCTGCTGCTGCTGCTGCTGCTGCTGCTGCNTGCTGCTGCTGCTGCTGCTGCTGCTGCTGCAGATACTAGACTGCTGCTGTGGGGCCTCAGCAGCAACAGCAGCAGCAGCAGCAGAAATACCGGAGCTGCTGCAATCGATATCAGCAAATGAGCTGATAAAAGAATTCGTGGGGGGCTGTTGAAGCCGCTGGGGGGAGTCGATGCAGACGACACCAGCTGGTTGCTGCTGCTGCTCTTGCTGCTGCTGCTGCTGTTGCTGCTGCTGCTGCTCTTGCTGCTGCTGCTGCTGCTGCTGCTCTTGTGTGTAACTCGTGTGCAAGAGATCCGATACAAAGGGGTCCTGGGGGGGAGGGATGGGGTGTTCTGCTGCTGTCACTGGGGCCCCAGCACCCTCATCCATCTTTCCGCGGTGGACAGACACCGCAAGGCTGCGAGACGAAGTCAGCGCTGCTGCTGCTGCTGCTGCAGCTGCTGCTGTTGCTGCTGCTGCTGCTGCTGCTGCTGCTGCTGCTGGTGACTCGCCAAAGCTGTATCCGCCTCGTAGAGATGATGCCGAGGCAAGAGAAGCAACCCAAATGGTAGTACAGCTTCAAGCGAGAAAAGCGTCTAGGTGTATTCTGACGCAAACTGTGAACTTCTTTACAGAAGAGAGCAGCAGCAGCAGCAATTCAAACGGCCTCCTCCGTGTCTCAGCTGCGGCGCCTAGCAGCAACCGGTGCTGGGCGGGTCCAGCAGCAGCAGCAGCAGCAGCAGCAGCAGCAGCCGCTGCAGCAGAGAGGAGCCGTCTGAGGTGAATAAGGTTTCAGGTGTGGTGTATGTGTTTCAAATAGGTGTTTTTGTTTCTTTAGATTGTTTTTAAGAGAGAAAAACCACACGGATCCGCAACCGATACAACAAGTATTGGTGCGGCGACGCAGTCAGCCACTGCGTGCGGGGCGGCCAGCCTGGGGCCTTCGGAGTGGAAAGCTTTCGATAAAGGGCAAACTGGACCCTGTATAGTCACTTTGCCGGTGACTTTTCGAAATAAACGCAAAAGAACGATCCGCAGCGTCGCAAAGCCCCCAATTGCAGCTTCTGGCCGGCCGAAGGCAGCAAACGGAAAGCTGAAGGAAAGCAAAGGAAAGCGCGGGTCTCCAGCCGCAATTCATGGATCAAAAGAAAGATAATTAAATACTTTATAAGCGGCAAACTCAGCGCAAATCAAATCACAAAGCTGCCGCAGAAACAATCGCCAAATGCAGCAGCAGCAGCAGCAGCGGCGGCTGCTGCTGCTGCTGCTGCTGCTGCTGGCCGCGGCTACCGCTGCTGCGCGGTGTATGTACAGCTGAGGCTTGTATGTATGAGCAGCAGCAGCGCAGCTCTGCCTGCCGTGCAACCTTTATTCCTTGTTGTTTTTCCTTTTTTTTAATTAAAAATTAAAATAATATATTTATTTCTTCTGCTGCTGCTTAGATATTTCTCAGCAGCAAACAAATACTGCACGAACCCGCCGCGGCCCACTGGCCATCCTCTGCTGGGTGTGTGGTATGGAGGGTGATGGAGGCCCCCTGCAGCATTTGTATGCGTTTTAATTAATTTTATTTATTTTTTTTTGTTTATATGAATTAAATTTAGTTCTTTTGTTGTTGTGTATACTCGTGTTGCTGTGTCTTCTGTTGCCTCTTGGTAGCCGCAGCAGCACGTGCTGCTGCTGCATCCATACACACATCGATTTGTCTCAATAAAAGATAAATCAGTTTGCTGCTGCTGCTGCTGCTGCTGCTGCTGCTGCT